ATTTTTGATATTTATTTTATATATTTAAATGCCATTTAACAAGAAAAATCAGCCAAAAAAATGAGTTCGCGTGTCACCTCTAACACGCGTGTCATAGGTTCGCCATCACTTGTGTAGGGGGTCAATGGGGAAAAATGAGACATCTGTAATACTTCCAACAATAAAGATAAAACAACAACAACACACGCACACACACAAAATGGATGTTGGGAAAAGGGAACAGTACACAGGCTTTCACTGGCTCTACTCTGCTCATGGGCTCATGGAGCACGTTCACTCACTGTTTTACTTTTTCAGGCAAAGGAACCTGGCGATGATACCTTCTGACTCTGGAACTCTGCAAGGGTCTTTGTTTTATGGAAATTGGTTTAATTTCATGGTTATCTCAAATTCCAACCACCTGTTGTTTGGGCCTAACCCTTGGAGTCATCCATTTTTCTCTCAACTTCCATATTTTGTTGGATCTATCTTATATGCCTAGAACCCACTCCATTGCTACCACGTAGGTTGAGGCCACCATCTCCTGTCACCTGGACTATTGCCGAAGTCCCTCTCTGTTCTCTCTGCTTCCACTCTTAGCAGCCACCCTCCCCCTCCCCACACCAACAGTCTATTCTCAACACAGCAGCCAGAGGGTTGCTTTTTAAAAAATGTTGAGTTACTTTTTCAAGTCACTCCTTTCTGCAAAACCTGTCAGTGGCTCCTCATTTCTCTCCAAGTAAAACCCCAAATTCTCCCTAGGAGCCTCCCCAGGCCTTCCGTGACCTGGTTCTGCTGTGTCTCTGTGTCACCTGCTGCAGCTGTGCCCACACTCACTCGGCTCCAGTCTCAGTGGCCTCCAAACTGTTTCTCAAATGGGCCAGGCCATGCCCCCCATAGGCCTTGGTGTGGGCTGGCCCTCAGCCTGGAATGCTCTTCCTGAGATGCTCATGTGGCTCGTCCTCTCATTCCTCCAAACCTCCCCTCGAATGAACTTCTTCATAGGGTGCACCTTGGTCACTCTATCACAGCTGCATCCTGTGCTTCAAACTAGCCTTCCGACCTTCATCATCCTCTCATTTTTCTTTTCCCATCCATGTACCTTCCAACATGCAATTAAGGACACTATAGAGTGTGTGCTGTTTATTGTCTCCCCTGCTTTAGAACAGAAGTTGCATGAATATTTCACAGATCTACATCAAATATTCCAAAAATTTATATAAAACCAAAAGAGACCCAGGATAGCTGCAGAAATACTGAGAAAGAAGAATAAAGTTGGAGGAATCACAATACCAGATATCAAACTATACTACAAAACTATTGTAATCAAAACAGCTGGGTACTGGCCCAACAACAGGCCTATAGACCTACGGAACAGAACAGAGAGCTCAGAAATTGACCCATGCCAATATGGCCAATTACTATTTGACAAAGGTGGTAAAAGCATACAATGGAGTAAAGATAGTCTCTTCAATAAATAGTGTTGGGGAAATTGAACAGGTATATGCAAAAAAAATGAAACTAGTCCAGCAATTTACATGCTACACAAAAATAAACTCAAAATGGATAAAAGACTTAAATGTAAGTCATGAAACCATAAAAATCCTACAAGGCAATAAAATCTCAGACATCTCTCATAGCAGTATTTTCACCGATACATTACCTAGGGCAAGGGAAACAAAGGGGAAAATTAGCAAATGGGACTACATCAACCTAAAAAGCTTCTGCACAGCAAAAGAATCCATCAACAAAATGAAAAGGGAGCCTACTGTATGGGAAAACATATTTTCCAATGATGCATCTGGTAAGAGTTTAATTTCCAAAATATACCAAGAATTCATACACCTCAACATCAGGAAGGCAAACAATCCAATTAAAAAATGGGCAAAGGACCTGAATAGACACTTTTTCAAAGAGGACATACAGATGGCCAATAGATACATGAAAAAGGCTCAAAATCACTAATCATCAGAGAGATGCAAATTACAATGACAATTAGGTATCATCTCACACCTGCCAGAATGGCTACCATCAATAAATCAAACAAGTACTGGAGAGGATGTGTAGAAAAGGGAACCCTAGTACACTGCTGGTGGGTATCGTCACTGTGGAAAATAGCATGGAATTGCATCAAAAAAATTAAAAATGTAACTGCCATTTGACCCAGTGATCCCACTTCTGGGACTATATCCTAAGAATCCCAAAGTACCAATCAGAAAGAATATATGCACCCCTATGTTTATAGCAGTATTATTTACAATAGCCATGATCTTGAAACAACCCAAGGGCCCATCAGTAGAAGAGTGGATAAAAAAAGCTGTGGTCCATTTACACAATGGAATACTATGTGGCTGTAAAAGAGAAGGATCTCTTACCATTTGAAACAGCATGGAGGGACCTGGAGAGTATTATGCTAAGCAAAGTAAGGCAGTTAGAGAAAGACAAATATCACACGATCTCACTTATAAGTAGAATCTAAAGAACAAAATAAACTGGTGAACAAAATAGGGCCAGAGGTATGGAAGTAGGGAACAGAATAACAGTCTCAGTGTGTGTGTGTGTGGGGGGGGGCGGTCAGGAGGGGGATTGGAGGAGAGGACAGGAAGAGATTAACCAAAGAACATACATGCATAACCTATGGACACAGAATAGCATGGGGAAGGCCTGGGGTGGGGCAGGGGTTGGGTGAGGGGGGCAAAAAGGGAGAAAATGGGAGACATTGGTAATACTGTCAACAATAAAATTTTAAAAATTCCATGAAAAGAAAATGAACAGAAGTTGCACGAGAGATGGGAGTTTTCTGCTTTCTTCCTATGTCTCGCTCACGGATGCATTCCAGCACCCAGAACAGCGTCGGGCAAACAACAGATACTCGGCCAACAAGGTCGAATGAACAAGCGGAATCTGTCCGGAATGTCTCTCACATGCACACCCAAGTCGCACTCCATTCCCTTCTGTAACCTGCGCCTCTCTTGGCCTCCCCAACCTTCCTGCTCCCTCCCCAGCTCCTCCCTTGCCTTCCCCACTGGGGCCAGTCACATCCCCAGATGCCTGATGACCCAGACTGGAACCCTGTCCATGACTTCTTCTCATTCACCTCCACATCCAGCTGGTCCCCAAACCTGGGCACTTCAGCTTTGGCAGTGTTTCCACATCCAACCTCTGTACTCCCGCCTCCTCGTCACCTGCTCAGCCAGATAATTCCTTTAATTCTGCACATTGGCAACACCCTCCGCCCCAATCTCCCAGTTTCCAGATTTTTCCTTGTTTTTTTCTCTTCACTGGTTCCCAGACTCAGCTTTCTAACAGGAACACTGTTACACCACTGCACAATCTCTCAACATCTCTCCTCCCTGTACAGTATTTTCAATCCTGTATTCCTAGGAACCCCAGGGGTTCCACAAAGGTACCCAGATTAGGTGACTCTCTGAGGCATCTGGAGGAGCTAAAAGACCAGGTGGGTGAAGCTCTAGGCCAGAGGTCCTCAAACTTTTTAAACAGGGGGCCAGTTCACTGTCCCTCAGACATTCCACACATGCGCACTGCGGGCCCGGGACGAGTTGGCTGCTAAGCAGGACAGGCAGCGGCGGCAAAAACACCCGGCGGGCCGGATAAATGTTTTTGGCGGGCCGCATGTGGCCCGCGGGCCGTAGTTTGAGGACCCCTGCTCTAGGCCCCCTGCCCCCACTTCAGTGCTAGCAGGTCTCAATCATAACCTCCTTCAGATATTGGGCTTGCATGGAAACTTCTAATTTGAAGAAAGGATTCTGTTGCATACAAAATAAGTCTTTAAAACAACCACCACTTACCTTGCTGCAGGCCAAGGCCCAAGCTCCTTAGTGGGTGGGCAGCCCTCTGCAAGCTGGGCCCTGGCGCTTTCTAGCGTCACCACCTTCTCCTGCTGACACACCCTGGGACCCAGCCACACTGCACAGGAACTGTGAGCTGCTCTGTGGACAAGCCTGCCCACATTCACCCCACCCTGCCGTGGTCCCAGCTGTTCCTTCTGCCTGGAATGTCCTTTCCCAGTGACTTCATCCCCCACACGCCGCATCTCTGCTGCCTTCCTTCAAGGCCACAGTCACCTTCCTTTTGAAGCCTTCCCTCACCCTGTGGGCAGAATTAATTGCTCCCCGTTCCCCGCGCACACAGCACTCGCCGCTGACCTCTATTATAGCGCTGCCCCGTGTGGTAGAACAATTTGCTCATCTGTCTCTGTAGCCAGACTGTGAGGCTGAGACCACAGCTCGGACCAGCTTCATTTCATTCCCACACAGGCCCGCGCTCCCACACAGGTGCACTGCGTTACTGCGAGTTTCCTTCAGGAAGTGAAAGGACTGCTTCTGAAAACCCCAGAGGAGGTGGCCAGTCTCCCCTCCTCTACCCAGGGGTGGCTGCCCTGCCATGGGATGTGGGTTCTGGAAGCTGTCTCGTGAGGTGCTGTAGGCACATGATGCTTGGAGCCCTCAGACCCAGAGGGGCAAGGCATGAAGCCTGCTGGGCATGAGGGCATGAGGGCCACCTGTGACAAAGCCTGGGCTCGGTTTGGAGGTCAGTGGGCAAAGAGTCCAAGGTGCAAGCCCTAGGCTGTCCCCCAGGCTGTGTTGTGGAGTGGGCAGGGTGAGGTTGTGGCCAGGATATTCTGCAGGGCTGGAGACCTTCGGCGGGGGGGGGGGGCGCGGCAGTCTCCTCTGTGAGCTCTGCATGACTCAGAACAAGGCCCTAACTAGTGCCTGGGGAATGGAGCACAGAGTCAGGCTGGGTGGTGCGGGGCCAGACAAAGCCCGCACAAGTGGGAGTCAATACTGGGATATGGAGGGCCCTGGGGTACAGGGCCTGCCAGGAGGTGCCCTGCAGAAGCGGAGTGGGCTTGCTTGGTGCTCACAGCCCCCGTGCCCATCAGACAGCAGCTCGGTGGGGCAGAGGCCCCTCTGCTGGATCTCAGGACTCTCCCTCCAACTCTAGGGCACGGCTGCCCTGACGCACCTGAGCACCTAGGGCAGTGCCGGGCCTCCTCCTACCTGGGCAGTGTCCATCTCATTCAGCATCACCACGGAGGAGCAGTTATAGTCGAACACCAGCCTCCAGAAGTCCGCCACGGTGTTGGGTAGAGGGTGCTGCGTGACCACGAAGGCCGCGGGCTGCTTGTGGCTCTGCAAAGGAACGACACAGGCTTCATAAATTACGTCCATCAGCGATGTTCTAATGCTGATGAGGCCCAGATGGTGCCAGAGGCCCCAAGCCTGCAAATAGGTTACACAAAGCACCTGGCCATTCTGTGATCTCTGGGTGCCCTGGCAGCAAAGGGGCGTCTCATAATGAACTCATTCTCCAAAATAGGACATTTCATTAGGAAAGTGTCACTCGGATGGGGATTATCCAAATAAATTATTTGTGTCTTGGAGCTCAGCAAATAATCATTTTACTCCGAAATGAAAGGTTCTGGATGCAGATTTGCTTCTCTGCTGGCCAAGGTTCCTCTTGGGATAAGTGGGATATCTGTGTCCCTTGCCCACAGTCCTGTAGGAGGAGTTGGCTCAGCCCATGGCAGAGAGCATCCTGAAGGGGCTTCTATTGCAGGAGGCTCATCCTGACAAAGGCTGGAAGGAGGGCTGAGCTGGGCCGGTGGCAGATGGGCACTAGAGTGTCCAGTGGAGCAGGGAAAGGTTCCCATGTTTTAAATTCAGGCAGACCTGATTTCAAACCCAGCTTTGCCACTTGTACATTATGTCATCCATCCATCCTGCATTCATCCATTCTTTCATTCATCCATGCATTCATTCATCCATGTATTCACCCATCTATGCATTCATCCATGCATTCTCATCCATGCATTCATTCATCCATGCATCCATCCAGCCATGCATTCACTCATCCATGCATTCATTCATCCAGGCATCCATCCATCCATGCATCCATCCATCCATGCATTCATCCATGCATTCTCATCCATGCATTCATTCATCCATGCATCCATCCAGCCATGCATTCACCCATGCATTCACTCATCCATGCATTCATTCATCCATGCATCCATCCAGCCATGCATTCATCCATGCATTCAATTATCCATGCATTCATTCATTCAGGCATCATTTGCAAAGTGACATTTTTTGGTGCTAAGCACTGGCAAGTTATTAGAGCTCTCCCAATCTTGGGTTCTTCATCTAGAAAATGGGAATCATAACTCCAAATGGATGATGTCCTACATATTGCGTGAGATTTGCCTGTGAAAGACCAGCAAGCAAGAACCAAGCTGTGAGCCCGCTGTTAGGGCAGACACACTCCTGACTTGGTTCTTCAACCTTGGCACGGGTATTGTGGGATATTGTGTTGGCACACTGAAACCCAGTACCGGTCTAGCAAACAAATAAATTCAGCCCCATATTCAGATGGGGAAACTGAGGCCCAGAGGACATGGCCTAGGTGAATCTGGACTACTCCTGAAGCTTCGACGGGGCCCTATTTATTACAGTCCCCTGAGAGAAGGTGCTTGGAAAGATTGGGAGCTTCTCCGCCTCACCAGTGGTCTGTGAAAACTGAGAAATAATCCATGTTTGCAATGCGTTCTCCTGGGAGCTGGTTCTTGTTGGAGTCCCAGTTGTTTTCAGTGGAGTCAGGAGTCAGCAGGAAGGTGGGGAGAGGAGAGGAGCTCGCCTATCCCAACCAGGTGAAGACCCTGCCAACGAGATTACCCAAAGCACCTGTCCATTCAGTGCTCTCTCAGTGTGCTTGAGGCAAAAAAAGAAAAAAGAAGAAAAAGCCGTGTAATTGTGGATGCCACCTGTGCACTAAGGGGTCCTGTCTTCTAAGGGCCTCTTCCTCGTCAGTGGTATGGCCAGAGGAAGGTCTGGGAGGGCAAAATAGTTTCCCCCAAAGCTGCACTCTAGCTGCAGACAGCATGTCTTTGGGCCATTGGCAGCCACGGAAAAGAATCCAGGCTTTCAGAGTAAAAAACTTGGTTCAGACTCTGACTCCATCGTTTCTTAGCTAGTTGACCTGGAAAGAGTCATGGAAATACCCTGACACTCAGGGCTCATCCGGAAAATGGGGATAATAATAGGCAACTGATGAGCGAGACGGTGTAAGTCCTGTGCCCAGCACTCGGTGAATGTTAGTTTTCTTCCCTTTCCCCGTCTCTGTGATAAATGCTCTATTAGGCCAGCACGCCCAACAAAGCCTTATCTGAAAATATGTTCGAGATCCGTGCTCCTGCCGGGTTTCAGGGATCGGCCAGCAATCCATTTCATGGATAACATCATCCTTTACCAGGGAAACATTAAAAATTAACCCAGAGGACTTCATATTTTTCTGCTGGGAGCGAAGCTGCTATGGTTACCAGATAAAGCACAGACTGAGCTGGAATACAGATAAGGACTTTTTCTTTTTCTTTTTTTATAAGAAAGGCGAAGGCCCCAGTGATGGCTCACCGGAGAACTGCCCTGTGGACAAAGAGAATACGATCAGCCTCAGAGCTGGCTTGGCAGAAGGCCTGTGACTCCAGGCAGCGTCTAACCTACTAAGTGGAGGCCAGGAGCATGTTTGATCCTTGCTTGGATGAGGCAGGCAGGGAGAGGCAGCCATGACAAGTGGAAGACAAATCTAGGAGAAATTGGAAGTGCAAGTGCACCCCCAGGCTCCACATTTTACCACACACACACACACACACACTCACATATGTACATATGCACACACCTTGACTTTGGAATGCTCTAAGCCCATGGTCGGCAAACCGCGGCTCGCAAGCCACATGCGGCTCTTTGGCCCCTTGAGTGTGGCTCTTCCACAAAATACCACGTGCGAGCGCGCACGTACAGTGCGATCAAAACTTCGTGGCCCATGCGCAGAAGTCGGTATTTTGTGGAAGAGCTGGTATTTTGTGGAAGAGTCACACTCAAGGGTCCAAAGAGCCGCATGTGGCTCTCGAGCCGCGGTTTGCGGAGCCGCAGTTTGCTGACCACTGCTCTAAGCTAAAGCCACAGGCCTTCCCTCCACATCCAGCCATTTGCTCTGACCAGACCCTCCCTGCTTCTGGACCCAGGGTTTCCGTGGAGGACGTGGGCACCCGCTGGGCTGAGGCCAGGGCTGGTCCCTACCGAACGGGGATAGGCATGGACCTCCTGTCATATCCCTGCCTCTAGCACCTAAGACCCTTGGAGAGAAAGTTTCAGGAGGCTCAGGGGTCAGCGAAGTCACTGGTCTCGGCCCAGGAGAGAGTGCCTCCTGTTCCTGCCTGTTCTGGGTGAGATGGGAGGTTGACCTGGGCTGGATGGACGTGACCTCAGACATGGGGGGAAGGGCGCCTGGAAGGGTGCGTCCTCCATCGGGCAACAGTTATCTCAATCCTGAGCATCGGGAGGCAAGATGTCTGAGTCTTACTGGACTGAGTAAATGGTGGGGAGGCTCAGTGAACAGACCCTAGAGTGTGAGCCAGGAGTCCTGGGCTCTGGCTTTGCATGGCTCTCTGGGTGCCTTTCAGCAAGTCTCTTTCCCTCCACGGCCGCAATTTCCTTTGCCGAAAAGTGCAAGGATGAGACGGGATGATTCTGGTTCCTTCCTACTGCAAACACCTACCTCCCAGAGTGCAGGGACAATAACTGCAAGTAGCTGGAGGGCCCTGGGGAGACCATGCGAGTCAGGAGCATGAACCCATTGGGACAGGGGCATAACCCCTAATCCCAAACCAGGTCGGGGTGGGGTACCCTTCCTGGGCACCCAACGCTGAGAAAGCAGGAGATAGGGCCCCTACAAGACTAGTCATGCCCCCTCCATGCTCCCTTTGCTGCCTCCCACCGCACTGACTGCGCGCCTACTAGGTGCCATCCTCATTCTTGCCTCTGCACAGGAGTGGTCTGGGAACCTGCCTGGGCGCTCCTGCAGGGCAGAACCTAGGTCTTCACCGCCTTGTGCTCCCAGGGCCCACAAGGCCTGGCACGTCCAATGTTTCCAGCACTGAACTCAAGGTGGAGAGTCAGCCTGTCGGCAGCAGGAGGGGGACTAGGCAGGCTGTGGCATCATGGGAGCCACTTCAAGCTTTTGGTCAGTTCTTTCCAGACTCGTTATGGGAACAAAAGAGCCAAGAGCACAGCTTATACAGGGGTTTGGGCAAGAGCCTTCGGGGGAGCAAAGGTCCTTGGGGCCAGCAAGATCAAACGCAAGGAGAGAATGCCCGGGGAGGATGGCCAGGGCCCTGGGTCCAGCCACCTCCACCTGGGGGGAGGCTTTCCCCTGGAGGCCAGCAGGAGTGCACCCCGGAGGCTCAGCTTACGTCCATCAGCGCCGCGTTGATGTAGTTGCTGGATTCTCCGTCCACCGAGATGAGGAAGGGCAGGCAGCGGTCCAGAGGCAGGACATCCATGCTCCGGTTCTTATCATGGTTCCGAGGCAGGAGCCCGATGCTGCAGTCCTCGGGCCGGACGTGGGGTGTCACGATATTGAGGGTCTGTGGGCGCAAAGGTGGACAGACAGACACAGCTCAGATGCACGCCCGGAACCGAGAGGCAGTGATGTGCAAAGTCAGCCTCCCCCCATCTCCATCCTCCCAGCTGGGCCCTCCCGTGCCTTTCCCAGGACGGGTTCTCTTCTATGGCGATTCTATCATCTGCAGGCCTCTCCAGCCCTGCGCGCCGAGAGCCCCTTTCAGGGGCTGTTACTCCACCACGCTGCCAGGGCTCAGGGGCTCCGACACAGCTCCCACCTCCTGCCAACCACCTGAGCTAAGCTGCTCATCTCAGCCAGCGCTGAACTAAAGGGCGGGCCAGCCAGGAGGCCGTAAGGTGAGGGTGGAGATAGGGAACCTCTAATGAGGGTTAAATATGCCCTAAAGTGTCATCGGATGGGGGACAGAGTTTTACCAGCATGCCCCTCAGAGGGAAAGTAGAGAATGGAGATGCCTGGATGAGCTGCACAGGGTGGGTGAGACCCCGGGGGCGCGCTCCGGCGTGTCTGGAGAATTTCAGGGCTTGTGCTCTGCAGAGTAAGTCTTGCACGTATGGGGCCAGTGCTGAGCTGCCCAGCCAATGACTAGCTGTGCCCATACCTGAAATTCGTCTTTGATTTGGCTGGAGTTGGTCTGGGGGTCCAGCCTGCTGATGTTGTAGTAGAGGGAGCGGAACTCGCACACGGGGATGGCGGTGTTGCCGCAGAGGCACGCTTCCAGGATGGCGTCGTGCACAAACACGTATTGCTCCTGCAGAGGGAACAGGGCCCCGGTCAGAGCAGCTGCTGGGACTTTGTGTCCACACTGCACGCTGTGGCTGTGAGGAGGGGCGTGACTGACATCGCAGAATCGCTACTTTCCGTCCTAGAACCGGAAGGCCCAAGTTTCCATGTTTTTTGGTGGCTGCCTGAGCTACAGTGACTCTTGTCCCTTGTGTGAGACTGAACAGCACAGTCACTGGTAAAAGTCAGACACTGTGGACGTGCTGCAGCAGGTGCCCTTGGTGTCCTGCCCGTGTCCCCTCAGCGGTCACCTTGACCTGCTGGAGGCTGCTGATGCAAGTGCCCGGCATTTAGGCCGAGGGCTTTTCCTAGTCCCAGGAGCACCCCTGAGCTGTGTGCAGGGTGAACCCGAGGGTGGAGAGTTAATGCCCCAGGAAGGAGCCTCCAGCAATGCCAGGTGGAGAGTAGGGGGACGAAGACCTAGGTCCCCCTCTCCTCAGTGGGTCACTTGGAAGAATGTGCTCCCCACTATCTCAGAGCCCCCAGGGCTGGTTCCAGGTGTACACGGTGTCAGAGAACCTGGCACACACCTTACCAGGGTCCGGAAGCTTGCGTTCCCCGTCCCCCCTCCCCCTCCACGCTCAGTGTGCCTAGGGATCTCTCCCACATAATCCACTTGCCCTCAACCGCTAGTCTCAGGGGTTGCTCCTAAAACATGTGATGCCCCCTGTGCCATCTCAGCTCTCTGCACCTCGCGGTTCTCTTCTCCTGGGCACCACCCCCCCCCTTCTATGCCTCAATGTCTCGCTTCCTCTGGAAAGTCTTCTCTAAATTCACCAGGCGGAAGTGGCGCTGTAACTTCCTTCACAAAGGTTTGCTGAGTGACTGTTTTCTGCAGAACTTGGCCCAGCTCTTTATATAAAATGCTTATCCAGATGCATAAAGATGATGTATTTGAATGTGCGTCTCCCCCACCAGACAGACAGCAAGGACCACAATGTGTCCAACGCCAGCCAGCCGTCCGCATGCCTGCACCTGGGGCCAGAGGAGGCCTCTCGGCTTAGCAGCCTCACCCAGAAGCCGGGGCTGCCGTGGGAGCTGGCTCAGAGCCCACAGCAGGGCCCTACGTGGACAAGCCTGTCAGCGGGGGCCTCCCTGCAGAGCCAGCAGCACCTGGCCAAGCCCAAACCGTGGGCAGTTTCCCTCTGCAGGGCTGACGACGGAAGCAGCTCTGTGTCCCATGCTGCCTGTCCTGGCTCCCACAGCCGTTGCTCAGACAGTTACAGGAATAACAAACCAAGGCTCCAAGGAGTAGGGACGGCAGAAGAGGCTGCCTGGCAAGAAAGTGTGATTAGGGGGAAGAGCATGCCCAGAGGTCACACCAGCCCGAGTTCTACCATGATCTGGCTATGGGAGGCTTTGGGGACACAGTTGCTCAGTTTTTCCATCTGTAAGTGGGGGTGCAAATAGGATTTACCCCATAGGGTTGTTGTGAGGAGCAGAAACAATTTCCTGACTGCAAAGAACCTAGCATGATGCTTGGCACATAGTAGGTGCTCCACAATAATGATGAGCCCCTCCCAGTTCCCTGGGTCTTGGGCTCAATAACTGGACAGAGGGGTGCCTGAAGGCCTGCTTCACCTCAAAGTCAGGGACTGTGTTTTCTCAGTAAGTTCACTGATTAAGCCATTCCAGCAGTGACTGAAGCAATGCTGGGCACAGAGTAGGCACTCAATATATGCTAGCCCTTCCCTATCTCTTCTCTCTTTCACTCAAGTCAGTGATACTATTCATTCAGTCCCTGCACAGATGGGCTCAGAGATGGGGAACTCACCATCATTCCTCATTGCTGCAAATCTCTGAACTGTGGGACCCTGGGGTTGGCAGGGGCGCCCTAGCTTCAATGATGGTCTCAACACAGCAAGCCACCTACTCACTCACTGCCTTTTCTCTCACTCCTAGGTCCCTTTCTATAGGATGCCAGCACCCACACTTCTCCTTGGCCAGGACTGCAGGTGGCCGGCTGGCTCAGGCCCCAGGACCCACCTCCGTCTGCACAAGGTTGACCCTCTGGGCTCGGAGCTCCCGCACACAGTTGAAGATGTCCACCACCCCTTCGTTCTCGGCCATGTCGAGCATGGTGTCGATGGCGATGAAGCAGCCGGTCCTCCCGGCCCCGGCGCTGGAAGAAAGGACAGGGTCTGTGTCAGGGACCGTGGGGCGGGACCAGCCCTGGGAGGCTCCTCACACTCAGCCCTGTCACCAGGACCCTGCAGAGGTGTGCGCTGCGGACGTCAGAACTGGGAGATTCCGATCAAACTGCAAGCCCAGTTCTCTCTTTTATAAAATGGGAGAATACTATTTGCCTTTGGGACTATTTTATCAAGATTGGCTTATTTTTGTTGCATGCATTTAGCAAACCTCACTTGGCACTTACAAAGTACCAGGCATTAGTCTAAGTATTTCACCAATGCTACTTATTAATAATTCTCTTATGTGGTTGTTAGGAAGTTTCTCACCCCATTTCACAGGTGAGGAAACTGAGGCACAGGGCGCTTACATTGTGCGATGTCACACAGCCGGCTGGTGTTGCAGCTGGGACTTAACCCAGGCAGTCTGGCTCCAGAGTCTGTGCTCTGCCACTTCCGTCTTAATAACAGTCATTGCACATGCTCATGCTTACACACACACATACACATGCTTACACTCACGTATGCATAGTTTCCTCACCTGATGGCTAAAGATAACCCATCTAAAAGGTACCTAGCACACTGTGGATGCCTAATAAACATGTTCCCCCACTACCCCCTTCCATATCACCCTTTCTTTTATCTTCTTCAATAAATGGGTTGACAGATGGAAGCCAGGAAGGAGAGGAGAGAAATCGGAGAGCAGGTGAGCAAGAGGGCAGAACCCAGCTCTTCTGCACTGTCCCAAAGGCAGAGAGTGAGTCCCAGCCCCGGGTTTGGCTCCCCCTGCACCTGCTCTCCCTGGATCATGAGGCAGTGCCTCCATGAACTCAAAGAGCTGACGGCCCTGAGAGCCTGGTCTGGTATCAGGTCTCCTGATCCACACTCGATTCTGATGGCTGGTGGCTTCCTTAGGAGAATCTCAGACCAAGCACAAAATGGCAAATAATAATAATAATAATAAATCAAGGAGACCCCATGGACCACAGTTGCCCTCCCCAGATCAGTGCTGATTTCCAAAGTCATGGTGGTGAGCGGAGGCCACTGGAACGTTTGCCTTAGAGGCACACAGTTTTGGAAGCGAAGGCCAGACTGCCAGGGAGGCCGTCTCGGCTGCTTTTTCGTCTGGCTTCCCTCATGGACGAGTGTCTTTGACTCACAATGTGGAAATGAAAGGAACACAAAGAGGAAGAACGATGGGCCATAAGGAGAGCGATGCTGGCTGAGCGTGAATCCAAGCAGGACAGGGAGTAGGACCGTCGCCGACAACGGTGGGAGAGCAAAGCCCTGGAAACGCATCCTCGATCTGGAAAGTAGCCCGTGGGAAGCAGTCTCCACTCAGGGCACAATGCCACGGTTTGAATGAACTTCCCTACAGCACTCCATCCCCTACCGATCCAGACCCCTCAGACGGGATGTGGGGGGCTGGCCCTCGGGGTCTAAGAGCCACCCCAGCCAGGTCTTCTCTGAAGTCTCACCCTGGACCTGTTTTAGGGGAAAGAACTAACCTGACTCGATTTTGGACCTCGGATCCCTCACTAGTGAACAGCTGCTGGCGCCCATGAGCTCAGTTTTCTTCCACGTACAACACACCTCCATGCGGGGTTCTCTGGGAACCGAGCTGTGTTGATTTCAGCATCAGGCAGCAATTAAGCCCATGCTATTGGGGGTCAGAACCCTGGGGATCAAATTCTTACTCTGCCACTTCCTAGCTGTGTGACCTTGGGTAGATGATTCAACCGCTCCGAGTGTCAATACCCTCATCTTTAAAATGAGGCTGAAAATAATATAGACCCACCATCTAGCGTTAATAGCACAATACGTGTAAATTGCATGAAATTATGTTGAAAAAGCATAATCCATGTAAATTGCTTTGCCCTGTGCCTGGCTACAGAGCAATTTCTCAGTAAACGGTTGCTACTTATATTCACGAATATTTATTGAGCACCTATTAGGTAGGCATTAGAGGCTGGGTTTGGGAGTGGGGACATGAGGATGAGTGAGACATGGCTCCCGTCCTGCAGGATGAGCGGGCTGGAGTGGGGGCAGCAGTAAGAGGCAGAGAATGTACGGAATCCTCTCTGGCACCTCGTATATGTTGGCCACCCATTCAATCTTCAGAAGCGCCTCAGGAGCAGGGCCACTCTGCGCAGGGGCATTAAGGTGGCTGGCTGTGGAGACAAGACCTCGTGCAGGGAGGGCCTGTAACTGTTTGCCATGGTCTCCCTTGTCCTGTTCCAGCTGCGCTTTGGGGCATAGGACTTGAGGGCTAACATTCTGCTGTCATTGGATTGTAAAGAGATGGTAAGTGGAGACTGAGACTCTATGTAAAGCTCTCAGAGAGCCCAGGGTGTGTGATGCATATGACCTCCTAATCCTCAATGGCCTCATCTGTGAAATGGGATTTCTAATTCTCACCTCTGCGTGGTGGGGAGGGGACATGATGCTATGTGAGGAAGGGCTGGCTCTGAGACATCCTCCGTGACTTGACCCAAGTCCCTGACTGACGGGGGCTGTGCCAGGGCAGGGCCGAGATAGCCTGCCTGCAGGGCCTGAAGGACGGGCTGGCCCAAGGTCACGCTGGAAAAGAGAGTCCCTGGAAAGGAGGCGGGGAGGGCGCAGGCCAGCCAGCCCTCAGGTCTGGGCATCTTCCCTCCTCCAATTCTTCAAGTCCTTGACACAGTGCTCCATCTCCATTTAGGAGGATTCAAAGATGTGCTAGTCATTCCCAATGTGACTTCCCAGGTCGGAGCTGAAAATATCTCTTCTCTACAATAAGGTGAAACCTGGCGCTGTCCATTTTCTCTCTATTAGGGACCCTGCCGGCTGGAAATTGATTTTTAAAATAATAGAAATGAAAAGAAGCCACTTCCTCTGAGACACCCCGCTCCCACTTCACAGAGCTGAGGGCGAGTGTCTGGAGGAAAGCAGGCTAGATGTCCCAGCTCGGTACACCTGTGTGACCCAGGCCAAGTGTCTACCTGCTCGGTACCTCAGTGTTCTTATCTGTAAAATGGGAACGATAATGGTGCCCACCTGTCAGTGTCAGGTGAGAAGTAAGTTAAATAACGTGGGTAAAGGGCACATATAGAAGATGCTGTTGGGGCCAAGCCTTGTCCCCAAGGGGCGTTACTACTTCAGAGCAACAGAGATAACAATGAGGGCTACCGCCACTCCTATTGTTCTTGTGAGACCTCAGGACCTGGGCCTTATCAGAAAGCACTGGGCACAGTGGACAGACAGGGGCCATGGACAAGATGGTGTCTCCCTCCCCGAGAGCAGATCTTTCAAGGAGGGGCAGCGAACTTTCACTTACCTGCAGTGAACCACGATGGGCCCGGCTTCGGGGGGGTTGAGGAACTTGACTTGGCGGACAAAGCCCAGGAGGCCAGTGGCATAGCAGGGGACGCCGTGGTCGGGCCAGCTGGTGAAGTGGAAGAGGCGGAGCTCCCGGATCTCGTGGTAGCCTTTCTGAGGAGAGAATGGGCCTCTGTTCCTGCAGCTGCTGCCCCCATATACCCTAGCCAGCGCCACGGGGCGCCACGGCTGCGGGACTGAGGAGCCAGTCTCCTGCTGTTGGGGAGGCAAGGCCCTCAAAGGGTTAATAGGTGCCCCTGCACAGAGGGCCTGTGGTCTGCCACATCTGGGAGCTTGGGAAGTAAAGTGAAAGTGACTGCAGTACTGCAGGACTTGTCAGAGCCTTTAGTGTGCTAATATGCATCTGGCTCCCCAAGGGGGGGCGGGCATTGTGACACTCCAGAGTTGCCCAAGGACCTTCTTTGGACAAGTATTGCATGGAACTTGTATCCAGCAGAACAGATTCAGAGAAATGTTGGCCTTAAACACCAAGTTCAAATCATTTCCTGTGGAATACGAGGTCTTTCAGTGATTAGGTCTGGGGTCCTTCAGTTCCCAGTCCTGTCTATGACAGTTTCCGTGGCTTTAAAATAAATTAGCAGGCTTATAATCAATTAGATTATTATTTAGAATGATAGGATATGGGAACAAGAAAAGTGGAGCTTCTCTGACCGATGGTTGTGTGTAAGTGTGTGTGTGTGGGGGTGGTGGGGGGCGGGGGGGGGGGGGGTAGAGCTCCGTTGGTTCCCTTCTCCTCTCACCACCCCTCACACAGACACCTCCAGTCCAAGTGACGTCCCACGACTATTCTGTGGTCAGGCCATACCTCTGAGCCTCTGCTTATGCAGTGCCCCTACCTGCTGTTTCCACTTAGCAGCCTCCTGCAGATATCTGGACAGCACTGAATAGGAAGCATGTTCAATTGTTCATTCTTCCAAGTTAAAGAATATTCTCTGAGGGTTATCTATGCCCGGCCACTAGGAAGGTGGAAATAAAAGCCTCTGTCCCTGGAACAGCTCATGATCTAGTCAGGGAGGTAGACTCCCAAGTGGATAATTCTATTAAAGTACATAAAGGAGTATCAGCTAACCCCTTCTGGGGAGAGGAGAAATCAGAGAAGGCTTCCTGGAGGAGGTGATGCCTGAACTGTATCTTGAAACATATTGATACTGAAAATAATGGCTAACATTTATTAATCATAGACTAGGTGCCTGCCACTCTCTGAACACTTCCATGTATTAATTCACTGAATTGTCATACCAATCCTCATACTGTTCTCTCTTTTTTTTTATGGATGAAGAAATTGAGGCTAAACAAGGTTAAGTGACAGGCCCAAGGTCACATAACTAGTAAGTTGTGAAGTTGCAATCTGAACCCTGGCTGTTGGCTCCACAGTCTGAACTCCTAAGCATTGTGACACACTGATGCCTGCGTGTGACCCGGTGAAGAGATGGAGGGATTCCTAGGCAGAGAGGCAGCGCAGGCAAAGCATGGGGACAGGACTTTGCACGATACGTGCACAGAATCGCAAACAGCCCAGGGCAACTCCCGAGGAAAGTGGAAGACAGGCAAGGGCATACAGCAGGACTGAGGGTGGGAGGTGGGGCAGGTGCTGGATCTGGGAAGGCCTGGAATTCCACTTGCAGGCCTTTAGACTTTGTCCCAGAGGCACTGGGGAGCCCTAGGGAGGTTGCCCAGATGGTGGCACAGAAGCGGCATCAGACTTGCATTTTGGGAGGATCACGCCAGCTACTCTGTGGAGGCTGGATTTAGCTGGGTGTGTTGGAGGGCTGTGTAGAGGGCACTGTTGATACCCACCCAGATCCCCTTTCCTGGGCCAGGGCACCCCCCGGCTACTCTGAGTGTGGGCTGAAGACAGCTCAGAGTAACCTACTTATTCAAAGAATTGCTCTCAACCCAAAAGGAGCCACCTCCCCTGGCTGGGGCTGAAACTTAGAGTGACCAATTGACTTTGCCGGTCTGCCCAGAATGGAGGGGTTTCCCAGGAAATGGCACTTCCAGTGCTAAATTCAGGAGGGTCCTGGGCAAACCAGGATGATGGGTTACCCTAATGGGGTACCAAAGGCCTCTTGCCCAAGGATGGGATCATCTCTGTGGGGCAGTTCATGCCCCCGAGCTCCCGGTGGGACCAGGCTGAGGCTGGGCTCCAGCTGAGACCAACACCCTCACTGGCTCCTTCCCTGCCCGCCCTCGCCTGCCTCCCTCCCTCCCCTTCTCAGCACACCATCAAGGGGACTCGAATCCTATCCTCTGCTCTGCTTCTTGGAAACTCAAACTGCAACACAGCAAGGCCAGAGGCAGGAAGCCCTGCTCAGAGGCTGCTGCAGAGCCCGGCGGGAGTGAACAGAGGCCTGAGTTAAGGCACCTCCGGAAGAGCTGAAGTGGGAGAAGAGAAAACAGCTTCAGGAATACTTGGAGTTTTTCTCTCCATGCTCTGAGTCCAGGGGTCAACTCTATGGCACGGTTTATGCTCTGGAGGCCCCTATAAATCAGGCTAGACTTCCCCTCCTCTCTTCTGCTTCGCTTCCTCTCTTACAAGTTTCTCTCTAGAGTGGTCCCTAGATAAACCATGTCCATCCGAATCCTTGTCTCAGGCTCTGCTTCTAAAGAACCCGATCTAAGACCACATCAATGTACCAGTGGTCCTCCTTCCAGTGGGGGCGCTGCAGGGAGCAACCTGTATCTCCAGTACTCAGCTGTGCACACAGGACCGGCACCGTGCAAGGGCCAGCTTTGGTGCTCAGGAGGACTTGTCAAACCCCGACGGCACGGCTCTCAAGGCACTGAAGTCCCCGGTGCTTCTGCATCGTCAGGCCTGTGGCCACTGGACCCTGAATGCTGCTGCTTTTAGAAAATGGCATTGGGGTGGAGTGGAGTGACAATGAGCTTCCAGTCAGGGGCTCACGCGTGAATCCTGGTCCGGCCACCCTGCGGCTGGGCCACTTTGCACGACTGACTTAAACACTCTGCCTAATTTTTTTCATCTATAAAATGGGAGTAATCATCAGACCTACCTCAAGGGGTTGTTGGAGGATTACATGAGTTAATTTATGCAGAGCAGTCAGAAAAGTACCTGTTTAGTGAGTGCTCACTAAATGGTAGCTATCACTACAATAGTTATATAATAACAACGGTTCTATCATAATTAAATCATAAATAGGAATAATAATTTGCAATCCAATTCCTGTTCTCAAGCTCCTGCCACACTGGCCTCCTTTCAGTGCCTAGACCAGCATTTCTCAATCCCAACGCTGTTGGCAATTGGGGCTGGGCTATCCTGTGCATTGCAGGATGTTCATCAGCATCTCTGGCCTCACCCCCTGGAGGCCAGTAGCTCCCCGCCTTCCTCTATTTTGACAACTGAAAATTGCCGAAGGTCCCCCATGGGACAAAACCACCGTGAGTTGAGAACCACAGGCCTAAAACATGCCAGAAAAGTCCACCCCCCTCATTATTTGCTTAATAATGGCTCCTCCTCCAGGCAGCCCTCTCTGACCACCTCATCCTCCTGTCTCCACTCATGGCATGTTCTTTCGTGGCTTTTATCACAATTTGCCATTATTACTTTTCTTAGTCTGTTGAATGCTGTCCATCCCTCTCGCTGGAGGTGGGATTCTCTGGAGCAGAAGCCACATCTAACTCAATCGCTGATCTGTCCCTGGGACCAAGCATGGGATGGGTGCAGAGTGGACCTCGGTCACTGTGTGTCCTGAATGAATAGACCAGCTGGCTTACCTAGTGGACAGGCTGACCACAGCCACAGGGACGCTTACCTTCTGGACCGTGAAGGTGCGTATGACGTATTCTGCCAGGGGCTCTGTTTCAATCAGGGTGACTTTAATGTCGCCGTAGACCTCAGTGTCATCCGGCCAGTATCGCACACACTTCACCTGCGAGGAAGGACAGAGAGGAGGACAGGTGAGCAGGTGGCTGGGTGTGAGCAGCCGCCTCACCTGGCTTTCCCGTTCAAATAAACCCAAGGGTGACTTTGGTGATATTTCGGTCGGAAGGGTCGGCTGGCCAAGGGTCGGCAACGTGCATGGGGCCAAGCTCACTCCCAGAGGAACTGGAGCCCTTAGGATTAATGGTAGTACCTTCATTTTCAAATCCATTATCAAATAGATCTAGGCAAGCTAGGCAGATGGAATTCCCCGTGTTACAGATGAAATTAATACTCAAGTTTGGAGGTTTTGGTGGCTTGTCCTAGGTCACGTGGCCATTTTTCTACCTTTGGCTGAATGGTCTGTCAGGCTGGGGCAGCTGATACCAGCAGAGCAGAGATGAGAATAAAAGGAGGGAAACAGTGAAGAGGGAAAGCAGAAATGGTCAAAGAGAACATCACTCTTCAGAGCGGGTAACCAGGGGCTGCGAGGACAAGGCTCTCTGTTGGGGAAGGATGGAAGGTGCTGGGCTCAAAGGGAGGACGCTGCCACTGCTCTCTGCTACCAACAAGCCATTCCCACATGTGACTGAGTCACACTCCACAGGAGGAACAAGAGATCATGGTTTTCCCCTTAAAAGAACAAAAGCATTACCATTCCGGGGGACGCCGCACGGCCTAGAGTGGCATTTCCCACAGTGTGTTCCGCTGGGTGCTAATAGGTGTTAGGTAAAAAACAAGAAAACAAAAACAAACAGAAAAGGTTTTGTGGTCAAATGAGTTTGGGAAATGCTGGATTAAACAAAGTTAAACAGGCTGTTTTGCTACAGGACTACTCAGCTGGCTTAATGGACTAATGCTAATGTTTTCTTTTCTTTTCTTCTTCTTATGTTTGACTCTCCAAAAGGGGGCAAAGAGTATGGAGCATTTCCCAAACGTATTTAACCATGGAACCCTCTTCTCACTAAGCATCCTGCAGACTAGCATCCCATGGAACCCACTTAGGGAAACGCTGGTAGAGCGCAACCGGCTTTGGAGGCAAATGGATGCATTGCATGATGCTAACACTCAGTAGCTGTGCAGCTTCCAGAAAGGTCTGAGACCTCTCTGAGCCTCAGCTTCTGTTAATGATGATAGCTATCCTGACTGAGTGCTGACGATATCTCACACTGTCCTCTGCAAACACTTTCCTGCATTATTGTAATTACTTATCACTATAACCATATAGATATCATTATTCCCATATTACAGATGAGGAATCGGAAGCACAGGGAGGCTAAGAAAATTGCCCCAGGTCAACAGTTAGGAAGGGATGGAGCCAGGATGCAAAGCCAGGGCACCTGAATAATCGCCAGCAGAAGATCTGGTACCGCACTTGGCTCCTGGCAGGAGTTCCATTAGAGATGGCTCTACTGCCCCTTCCCAAATCCAAATTAGCTTCACGATTCACCCCTCCAGGGAACCTGTCTTCGATGTGGGATGCGTTATAGAACAGGCTGGAATTTGCCTCTGGATTCTTAGTCCTGGGATGGCATTTGTCCGCAGTAGGCACAGCCTGGGCCTCAGTCCCTGGAGAGCAGTCCTGGGTGGGGGCACCATGAGCACTAGAGTGAGAGTGGAGTCGTAGACCCTGCCCTGGGTCTGGCGGGGTGACGTCAGGGTAGTTACTCCATCCCTTTCCTCATCTGTAAACTAGACAAGAGTGGGCTCAAGGATCCAGTCTCTCCTGGCTCTGAACTCCTAGGAAGACACGAGACGCCCACAGCCCTTTCCTGGGCTATGACTCACAGCCCAGATCTCCCTTCCCCACTATCTCGGAGGCCGGGACCCTACGTAACAAAAACTTACCTGCCCCCTCTTTCGTCAGCCCTCTGAACTCTAGTGTGTATGCACCCTGCCGTGAACCCCGCAGCCCGCCCGCCCACACGCCACAGTTTACCAAGTAAGCAGCCGCCCGCTGGGCACAGCCTCCCGTTTCTAAGCCCTAGGAGTAGCTGAGGACCACGCAGGGGAGGGTGAGAGAGAGCAGAGCGAGAAACCAAGGCCTGAACCCCAAAGAAGGTGGAGGTTGAGAGGTCAGGAAGCAAAAGGTCAAATGCTGCTGAGAGGTTGAGTACAATGAGAAGAGAGAAGTGGCTGCTGGATCTGTCCCCATGAAGGATGTCAGTGATTGACAGCATCGCTGTGGATGGGATGGAGGAGGAGCTACGCTGGAGCGGGCAGAAGAGAGCCGAGTGCAGACACAGAGCCTGCGTGCCAGTCTTTAGAGTTTGGCAGAAAGGGAGGAACAAGAGCATCATTCCTGTTCGCCTGTCTCACAGTGTTAAGGGGGAGGGCACTCAGGAGGTTTGCATGCAAACACCTAGCAATTAGAAAGAGAGTTACTTTCCAAGTGAGGGGGGCCTTGAGAAAATTCTTGAACAGAATCTGTGATTCAATGCCCTGTGGTCACCTTGGAAGGGCAAGAATCACTTCCTCCTTCGTATTAGGCTGAGCCAAAGAATCGGCCGATATTCTACCATTTGGGGTCAACAAAAACAGTCATTTTTCTGGTTCAACCTGACAATAGAGGGAAGAATGAGATGGTTGTAGACACAAGTAGATACAAGCTTTGTGATGTGAAGATGGCAGCGTTCACGTCTGATGCCTTACATTTCCTCAAACTCTATGAGATGACGTTGTCCTCGGAGAGCGAGGGTGGAGAGAGGAATGAGGGGTCTGAGGGAAAAGGACGTTCTTAGGGTGTGAAACAGAAGTGAGGATTTCTCCCTCCTAGGAGGCTGGGAGGTGAGATTTGGCACAGGAGGCACCTGGCACACCACACGAACAGACACGTGCTCAGGTGTGCGCCGCCAGCACCCTCTAGCCAGGTCACTGCAGGAGGGGCTTACCCTGCCCACTTCCACGAGGTTCGTGACCATGACGATGCTGGCCGAGTTCTCCTGCCAGATCATTCTCCAGAAGTCCTTTACCGTCTCCTGCATCGGACCTGCCAACAGAGAAGGTGACGACAGGGTCAAAGGTCACAAGTGTCAGGAAGCAGCCAGGAGGCTGACCCTTCTGGCTGCTCAGCCCTGACTCCACATGGGTGAGTGACAGCGAGGCCAGAGAATCCTCGCGGGGGCACCCAAGTAGCTGGGACTGGGGCCTGAGGCGTGAGAGGTCAGAGCATGGATAAGAAACCCACATTCCAAGCAGGCAAGGTCTGTGGCTGCCCCTGAGAGTGCTTCCAGCTTCTCTCCTCCTCCCTCGCTCATCCTCCTGCTCAGCCCCTTTCCACCAGCCCCTGACCCTGACCCATCACCTTATCTGGACTATACTACGGGTTAATAATAGAGCTCAGTGGAGTTTTCCTAAAAATTGGGCTCCAGACCTCAATGAGACAGAAGGACACTGGGGTAGAGGGGCGGTGCCGGGAGCCAGACGCTGAGAGTGCAAAGAGAAGATGCCGACTGTGAGTGTTGGTCTGAAGCTCAGACAGAAGGGGGAAGTAGACAAGGAGTGAGAGACAGGAGGGAGAATCCAAAGCCATTTCCTTGGAAAATCCTCCTTCAACATTCTGGGCTTTCATTGTTTTTAAAATTACAAGACCAATATATGTATTTGATATAAAAATTTGAGTGATGATTATATATATATACACACACTAGAGGCCCAATGAACAAAGTTCGTGCACTGGTAGGGTCCCTAGTGGCTGCTGGCTGCCGACTGGGTACTCCCTCTCTTCCCCCGGCCTGCCCCTCTTCCTGGTTGAACTCCTGGATGACCTCCCCGGTTGAGGGGACAATTTGCATACTACGCTTTTATTATATAGGAGATATATATATATATATTTATATATTAACAAACATCATATCTATAATTTCTATTGTATGGATTTTCCCAAGCCCTTAATAATTCTTACCAAGCAGGATATTTCTCATAGCTGCATAATTTTTCATAATAGGGAGCTATCACACCTTAACCAATCTACCAACCATCAGGCACTTAAGACTTTTCCCTTGTTTCCTGTTCTGGATAACACCATGAAGAGTATCTTCATATACAAGTCACTGTCCACATATGCAGCACCCACAGGATTTCCTCCCAGAGGGTCTGAGAGGTATGATGGGTTGTCAGCCTTCTGATCACACTGCCAGGTTGCTCTCTAGCCAGTTGGCTGCTCCCTTCTTCTGGGCTCACCCCCACCAAGGAGACAAGGCACCATCGGGTCCGCTTCTGGGTGGTGGACATCAGGGGCACCCCCTGAGCCTAATGCTTGAGATCCGTCCTGCCTGACCACGTCCTGGTGCCACCTCCTTCCTCTTACTCAGGTCCCTCCCACGGTAGCTGAACTTGTCACCTCCTTCCTCCCCAACCAAACATTAGAACCTCCAGACCTCCGGAGGCTCTCCAGCCTGACCCTGTGCAACTTCTTCGCTGGCAGAAGCTCATTTCTTTCCTCGGTAAAGGGCGAGGGCCCTTTAGAGGGAAAGGAGGGCACTTACCTTGAGTCGCAATGTAGTGCCGAGGTCGATGGTAGCCCTGGGTAACAGAGAAAAGCACAGTGAAGGGCCTCCCGCCAAGCTTGCAAACAGCAATAATTATCCTTTCCAAGACACGGCTTCCTCATAGGCAAAATGGGAATAGCATTAGCCATTTCCCAGAGAAATGAGATAATGCATACAAAGTGCTTAGTAAATCACCAAATGTTCGCTATCACTATATGACTATATCTGGGAGGTGCCCATACAGGCTTGCGTTGGAGCCAGTGGACAGGGAGCAACATTAGGTGGGCATCTCTTATGCCCATGCACCCCAAAAGAGGTGGAAAAGAAATTTTGGGATTTCTGTGGGACATCAACCACCAAAAAGTTTTTCCTGGGCCATGATTATGTGCAGAACCCTGCACGAGGCTCTGTAGGGCCCCTGAGAGAAGAAAATAATTGCATTCGTGGCTCCTTGCATTAGAGACAATTAGAAAAACAACACTGGAACAGATGCTACACTGCCTCCCTGTGCAACATGGCTGGGCTTGGAATCGAAGTCCTGTTCATTGGGAGGACCCCGCGTACGTGTGACCCAGAGGCTGACAAAGCCACTTTCTGATCCCAAGATTTCCCTGTATGTTACAGAGTGGTCCCCTAGGCCCTGTGGGGCTCTGGTGGGGGTGACTCTGCTGCCCCATAATCCTGATAGTTGGAGAAGAGGTTGAAGATGACTTTCTCTTTTGCCTGGACATGGCATACATGGAGGATCCCCTCTCTATTACAGAAAAAAGGTGAATCATATTGGGTAAAAGTTCAAGTCTCGGAGGCAGATCTGCATTTAGCACATAGCACTGAATGTAATTAGCATTTATTGACTGAATAAATGAGTTAGTGAATGAATAAATGTAAGAAAACACACATATGAATTATGGAGTCTGCTGGTGGAGAGGCTATTGGAAAGTGGTCCTGAAAACCACTTTCCCTTACGGATAACCATCTCAGGAGATGATGAGTCCTACAGTTTGATGAACACCTATTTCTGTCTTAAGCTTTGGTGGTCAGACTTTCTGTCCTGCTGAGGAGGAGGAGCTGCCTCAAGACCGCCTTCTTCAGGACTGAGCCAGACTTGCCATCTGTGTGGCTTATGGTGAAATAGATGTGGTATCTTTGAGGTTCTAGATCTGCTTTCTGATTCAAAGACTAGTTTCTGAGTCCTCCCCATTTCTCTACCTGTCTTCTACCTGCTCCATAAATATTTACCTAGGGCCTTCTACTCGCTGGTAATGCTTGGGTTGACCGTCAGTACAACCCAAGGCCAATGTCATGACCAGAACTGTGGGACTGACCACCAGTAATCACAGCCCCTTCCTAAGTCTGTGTTCGAGTGGGACTATCTTCTTAGCGAGGCTGTCAGCTTCTTGAGGACAAACACTGCCTCCTAAGTGAAAAAAAGAATCCCGTAGAGCCCAGTACAGCGTGAACTCAGAGCAATGCCCAAAAAACAAGCTACTGAGAGGACAACGAGGAGGTAGCATAGCATTGTGATTATATGCACAGACCCTGGACCTAACTGCCTGGGTTTGAATCCTGGCTGTGTCCCTTCCACGCTGTGTGGTCTGGGGCAAGTTACTTAGCCTCCTTGGGCCTCAGCTGATTTTTTGCTGTTCAATGGGGATAACAGTATTTACATTATAGTGCTGCTGTTAGGATGAAATGACTTAATAGACAACAGTTCCTCTGTGCCAGGCACTATTCTAAGATTTAACATAGAGGTCTTTGTTACTGTTTTTATTTTATGGTTTATGTGCAAACATTTATCGAGTGTCTATCACAACTAAAAGTCAGCGTTGGCCCCTAGGGAGGCCCTGAGCTGGTAAGCCCTCCTCCCCTCCCCTCTGTTCTGCTCTGCCTATTAATGCAGGAACTGGGCTCTTCTTGGGACATGAGAGGTAGGAAGGCAGGTGACAGGTACAAAGAGCTATCTGTCCCTCCAAGTCAAGGTAGACAGAGTTTCCCAGGCTCACAGGGAGAACTAGACTCTAGGAGTGTTCTTGAGTAGGTCTGGGAATGAAAAATAGTACCTGAGAGTGTGGAAAGATGTGATTTTTCAGTCTACCCTCTTCTTACTTCTTATAGTCCTCATCCTCCCTGACCTAAGCCATGGCACCAGCCTCTTGCTGGCCTCCCTGCCTCCAGTCTGGCCCCACAGCCCATCTGCTTCCCACCAGAGTGAATTCCCAACGCGCACCTGATTAGATTACTTCCCACAGAAAAGCTGCAGTGGCTCCCACTGCCTGCACAGTAATGTCCAAATGCCTTCGCCCGGGGCTAGTCATCCGTCTCCATCCTCGTCCCCAGCCTCACTTCCTCTTGCCCCTCTCTGTCCCCTTCCACAGCCCCATGTGCCTGTGTCCCAGCTTCCCACACTGCACTTCAAATGAGACCTCCCACCTCCTGAGAGGCCCTGCAGGGCTCTGTATGTGCCCAGTTACCACACTCCCAACATGCACTGCGTTACGCTTTCTGTGCTTTTCCCCCTCTGGGCCATGGGACAGGTCACCAGAGCCGGGTGCAGTTTTCAGCCAAGGCTGGTTGGTGGCATACAGGCATGAATGTGTCTCTGAGGTGAGGCTGGGTCACTCTACTGGATGCACCAGCCAGAAGACAAAAGACCCCGTGGAGGAAACTGACTTGGAAGACCTGATGCGCTTGAAAGTCAATGGGATAAATTCTGAGCAAGAAATTCACGTTTCCATTGTGGAGTTAGGTGACTTGGGTTCCCTAGTTTGTTCACTCATTTTTCCTCTCGGTCATTCGATATTCAGTCAACAGGTGTTAACTGAGCACCTACTACCATGGACAAGGCCCTGGAAATACAAAAGTGAGCCAGATGGAGGCAGGCTCTGCTTCTGAGCAGCTTATCGGCAACAAACTGGGGTAGGGAAGGGGTGGGGCTTGTGGAGTTCAGGGAAGTGTCCTCTGAGGTGGCCTCGTAAGCCCAGCTTGGGCATCTCAGCATCACTGCTATTCCTGTTTCATCCCCGTAGCCATACTCCCAGTTTTCCTGCCACTGCCCCTGGACTCACTGGCTGTCTCGCTCTTCTTCAGAACAATCACGTTTCTATCTGGAGGCCTTAGCAATGGCCATGCCCTGTGCCTGCTGTGTTGGTCCCCAAATAGCTGAGCACTTGCTCTCTCCCTCACCCAGGCTTCTGCTGGCTGCCCGTCACCTCCTCAGAGAAGCCTTCCCTGCCCATCCTGTCAGCTTCTTTCTGCTGTCTCTACTTTCCTTCTTTTCAGAGCACGTATCTGTGTTTATTGACATCCTGTGCCTATTGTCTGTTTCCCCCGTGGAATGAGAGCGCCAATGGGCAGGGCTGTGTCCGGCTTTGCTCACGGCTGTGCCAGCCCAGAGAGCCTGCCTGGGCCACCAGCCTTGATAAATGCACAGTGAGTGCGTGCCTTCCCATGCTGCGTGTGAGCAGAGAGATGCTGCCTGGCCTCCAAGAACCCATACGGTCCCCAGAGAGAAAACATTGTAACCACGAGCGAGACTCCAGCAGTGCTGATGAAAGGAAATGAACTGCTCCACGGGGGCTCCTCCAGGGACCTGCCGAGAGCTGGACAGAAGACTTCCTAGCCTTAAAAGAACTTGGAGTTCATTGAAGCCCCACCTATAAAGCACGCAGACCGCCTGCCAACCAGCACCGGGCCGGCCTGCATCTGTCTGTGAGCAACGGGAAAGAGGTTTGCATCCAAAACACATTCATCTCACTCTGTACTCGTGCATCTGTTACTTGCTGGGGACCCAGATACGATATTCACTTCCAGGCGGGTAATTTATAACAGATTCAAGTGGCCAGCACATTCTCAGGTGTGCAAACCTCGCGGCCAGCGGGATGGTTCTGGCTGCAGCAGAACCCTGGCCTCCGGAGGCACAGACAGGGCCGGCCCATTCTGCTCATTGTCCATATGGAGTCGGTTTAATGGATTGTCAAGATCCCATTGTGGATAAGTGGTCCTAGTGCGGGCATTGGGAGAGCTGGGAGGATTTGGCTGGAGTGGAGACCAAGACAGAGGGGTGAGGACAAGAGAGCGGTCTTGAGCAGCGGTCGCCAACCTTTCGGACCACCAGTTGGCGACTGCTGCTCCTAAGGTTATCTTAAACCAGCGGTCACCAACCTTTCGGACCTCACTGGGCCACCAGTGGTCTGTGGACCACCTGTTGGTGACTGCTGGTCTAGAGCAGTGGTTCTCAACCTTCCTAATGCCGAGACCCTTTAATACAGTTCCTCATGTTGTGGTGACCCCCAACCATAAAATTATTTTCGTTGCTACTTCATAACTGTAATTTTGCTACTGTTATGAATCGTAATGTAAATATCTGATATGCAGAATGTATTTTCATTGTTACAAATTGAACATAATTAAAGCATAGTGATTAATCACAAAACAATATGTAATTATATATGTGTTTTCCAATGGTCTTAGGCGACCCCTGTGAAAGGGTCATTCGACCCCCAAAGGGGTCGCGACCCACAGGTTGAGAACCGCTGGTCTAGAGTATCGACTTGGCAGGAATACCCACAGAAACCCCAGGAGTTTTAGCTTTGCTGGAGTGTATAGCAGTTTCACAGTAAATAGGACTTTTCTGCCATCTGGCCTTAGGGACACTACACCCCACCCTGTGGGGCCCCCTCAATCCTGTTCCACCCTTATTAACCTCTGCTGGGTTAATCCCTTTGAGCGAGCCTGTTTCCCAGGGGGACCCTGACAGGCAGACACCTTACATGAATTATCATGTTCTTGTGGAGGGACATGATTATCCCATGTTATAGATATCAGAACAAGTAATAATTTACCCTAGACGTAACACTAGTAAGCAGAACTGCCGGGGTTCAATGGGCCCTATGAGGACTGAATTCATGACTTTGGTCTGTGAGCCCTTGACTTTAACACTGAGACCTGCACAAAGCCCAGCATCACATATTAAGACAGCATCTCACACACCCTGCTCCTTAGGGAGGGAGAGGGCAGTGGTTGTGTCCTGGGCAGGCAGAGAATGGATTCTAGCTGTGTGACCTTCAGCAAGGCTCTTAACCTCAGCCCTGGCTGCTTTCCTCCTGGCCTACAGAAAGCATTGCAATGACAGAATCTGGGAGAAATGGGAGATGCTATTAGTATTGACACTGCGGAGATTTGCTTCCCTTTACAACAATTTCATTTGTTGCCTATAAACCACCAAAGCGCACTTTGGCTCTGACTACAGTCAGATGCTCACCTGACTTTGGATTGGAGTGTCTACCTGGAAAAGTGATTTCTGCTGGAGGTTACCATCCACATGATGCAGGCCCGCAGACCCCACATGGGCCATGGCCCTCGAGGCTAACACATCCACTCAATTGCAGACAAGGTCAAGGGGAAATGGAGGGGACCGACTCAGTCTGGTTCAGCACACGCAGGAGGGGCAGCAGGAAGAGCCCTGGACTTGGAGCCATTCGGGTCTGGTTCCTTGCTTAGTCCTGCCGCTGACCAGCTGCATGGCCTTGGACAAGCTTTGCAATCTCTGTTTTTCTATCTGGAGAATGGGGTGGCTGCCTACCTTGGAGAGCTATTGAGAGGTCCCAATAAACTGACTCAAAACCACCCACCACAGGGCTCAGGAGGGACTCACGTAGCACCTCTGGCTCTTGTCATCGCTTTTCTGTTGTTACTAAAGCCTGCAGGGCATGGAGGGGGAGGCACCCCTGACTCAGACTCCTGCTCCCTCCTCCCTCACCTCCTAGCAGTGTGATCCTGAGGAAGTTACATGACCCAGAAGCCTCAGCTTAACCCTCAAATCTCCCTTTAGTGCCTGCCATGCAGGGGTCAGCTCACTTCCCTTCCTGCATCTCTTTCTCTCTCATACACACACACAGATACACAGGCACACACATTCATATATAGAGACACACACTCATACAGACAGACACACACTCATACCAGCAATATAAAGCAGAACAGGGAAGCACAAGCAATAGATCTAAGGGCAACAGGCAAATGAGCAACACAAAGCTAATGCTTGTGGAATTAACAAGTCATCTTGTTTGAAAGCATTTTCTAGCTGATCTATAAAACACTTGCGAGTCCAAGGAACCCTGGTGGCTCTCTGAGCCCTTCACCAAGGGCCTTGCCTCCCAGCTGAGGCCCCGAGAAGCCTGGCTGGAACCAGTCACCCTGGGTGTCCACCTGGCCCCGAGGTCATACCCCTCTTCGTGCCCTTTCCCACTCCCTGGGCGCCTGTCTTGGCCCCTATTGTATTAGTTCCCTCCTCAATAGTCTCTGGACACTGAAGCGCCCCTTTCCTATTCGGTGTCCCGATCCCAGCCTCTGATCTCTCTCACCCCTGGAAATAGGCCAGTCATCCCAAAGCTCAGCTCTGACCAGTCACCTCCTGGATCAAAGCCTTTCCATCGTGGTTTCTTGCCTGCAGGATAAAGCCCGATTCCTAAGGTTGGCCCTAGACCTCCCATGGCCTAGCTCCAATCATAGTTCCCACTCCTTCCATTCCGGAGTCTGCTCCCCTCGAACTGAGCAGGGGCATATCCGCGCTCCCAGCTGCTGCATCTCGCCTCCGCTGTTCTCTCCAACCAGAGCCCATCTTCCTCCTCTTTGCTCTCCAATGCTACCGGTGCTTGAAGCTTTGGTTCACACCACATTTTGCATTCCTGATGGAAGAAGCAATTGCCCCCCATCTCTGAACCCCTGTAGCATTTTATCTGAACTTAAGACTCAACCACTTTGTCGTTTGTTCTGAAATGATTGATGGGCACAGCTTATCTTCCTGCTAAGGTTTTAGAGGGTAGGACCATGGCATCTTAAGCTTTATGGTTCCCATAGCCTCCGGCACACAGTAGGCACTTGTAAATTCTTGTTGTCTAAATGGCTGTACCTTCAAATGAATGAATGAATGGATGAATGGATAAACAGACACATATATACAAATGAGTCAGCGGGTGAACAAACAAGACTGGCCTTTGTCCTGGGGCCCTGCAGAGCAGGCTACTCCAGCCCGCCTGAAGGTAGGCAGCTTTAGGAGGGGAGTTAACATGGGTCACACTAATTACACAAAGCAGGGAGGAGCCAGGCGGCTCTGGACATGTTCTGGGAAGGCCACCTCTGGGGGAGAGTCGGGGGACAGCCACAGATTTTGAGCCCCTGGCTGCCCAGCCCACAAAGGCACTCACATCAATGTAGTTGGCGTTGATATAGTCAGAGTGTGGGTCTCCATCCAGCACCAGCAGCCTCACTCGGGAATGGTCATCTGCAGGGGGGTGGGGGGGGGAGGGTGAGAGAGAGAGAGAGAACGAATAAGAGGATGGGTGATAAGACACCATCAGGTGAGGAGCCAGCCCTGCCCTCCGTTAGAGCCACATTTAATTACTGCACACTTGGCATCATGAGACTTTAGCACAAACCTTCTCATGTAACCCACCAGCTACCCTCAGTTATTGTCCCCATTTACAGATGAGGAAGCGGAGGCCCGGGGAGATTACTATGCCCTAAAGAGGACCTGTATCTTCTCTTTTTCCCACCTGCCCTCCTGATTCTGGCTTTGTCATTACCACCTAGGTGAGTCTTAGTGATTTTATCTTAAAATGGGGATGGAAATACCCTCTCCATAGGACAGTGCAAGGGAGACTACATGAAAAGTCTCGGGAAGCGAGATGTGTGGATGGGGATTAATGCGCTTCATTTTCATGCTTGTTTAAAAACGGCAAATTTACCTATTTTCCACTTGGGCACAAATTGCTTTTCTTTTGCCTCTTGGAGTATTGCTGCAAATAGATTGTCGGCCACATACTGCTATCAATACTATCATTCGAGCGGAGCTGACTAAATCATTATAAAAGAGGTCATCAATAACTGAAAACCGTGTCACAGAGCATACCATTCCAAATACAATCTAGGCATAAACAAGATTTGCAGGCTTTGGTCGATGGCACGCTGGCTTCAAATAACACCAAATAAAAACCATTAAAAAAACAAGTACAGCAGAAGAATCAGACGAATCTTTTACAATTAAGTAAAGTGAGCTCCGCTATAGACACAGACACACGCAATCAGACCTCCCTGGCCGGGTCTGGCTGGGAGGAGGGGCTCAGCTGGCTGCCCAGGTCACTGTGCAGGTCCCTGAATGGACTGGACATGACTCTAGGGTAGGGCTAGGGTTCCAAGTCAGTGGGTGGCAGAGCTTTGAGCATCCCCAGGGGCCCCATGCTCAGGTCCTCATGGTGCTCGGTGACTGTATGAATGGGTGACCTCACTGGACCCTGACAGTGATGCTGGGAGAGAAGCAGGATGGGTGCTGTTAGCCCTTGATACAAACAAGGGAACTGAGGCTCACAAGGACTCACTGGCCATGGGCAGGGGGAGATGGAGCTTGGAAGAGCGGGGTCCTCTCAACTCTGGGTCCAGCTCCTCCAGTCTCCAAAGAGGGGTCTAAGGGGATATGAGAAACCACTTCAAGTGTCCAGAGCAGAAGGAATTAACGATAGAGAAGTGGTCACCTGGATGATGGACAAGTTGAAAAGCCAAATAGAAGAGGGTGAAGTAACTCAGAGGTCAGAGGTGGAGGTACTGGAGCTCTGGGGCTGGGGCACCTGTGGGGACTGCAGCTGCAGTGGCTTCTTTGGTGAAAGCTGGAGAAAAGCTGGAGCCTGTGGTTGGGACAGACGGGGAGAAATACTCCTCCCCCGGCCTCTTCCTTTCTCCCACCTTCCAATCTCCCACCGGTACATGCCATTGGCCAAACCCAGACAGAAGCCAGCTGCCCAGAGACTGAGAAATGCAACCTGCAGAGTCAGCTCTCTGTGAGCAAAAAGTGAGCGGGAGCAGGCAAGGAATGGGTCCCAGGATGAACACACAGGTCCAGGACTGGGCAGCATACCACGCCCTAGCCATTAATTCACTAACTAATTCATTAATTAAAAAACTATTCATTCAGCATCTGCCATGTGCCAGCAGGGTGCTAGGCACTGAGATATACTGGATGCCACTTTAAAAAAAATAATATATTCTTATTGATTTTAGAGAGAGGAAGGGAGAGGGTGAGACAGATAGAACATGAATGATGAGAGAATCATTGATCGGCTGCCTCCTGCACGCCACACACTGGGGATTGTGCCCATAACCCAGGCATGTGCCCTTGACCAGGAATTGAACTGTGACCTCCTGGTTCTTTGGTCGATGCTCAGCCACTGAGCCATGCTGGCCAAGCCTGGATGCTACTTTTTTACTCATCATGGGGAAGAGTTCCAGTGGAAGCCAGTAAGGGAGTAGGTGGGGGGTATAAGTCACTCCTTTGGGGGGCTGGGGGAGTGGGGTGTGAAGGAGTCTGAAGCTAACCTTTATGGAGCTAATGACAGGAACCAGAGACTTTACATACATGACCTTAATCCATCATTTATTCCCCCAAATAACTGAACAGATTATTGTAATAATACCATTCTGATGTAGTGTTATTATTCTTTCCATTTCACAGATGAAGAAACTGAGGCTCAGAGAGCTTAAGCAAGTTTCCCTTGTTACACAGTCTGTAAGTAGCAGGGCTGAGATTCTATCCCAGGCCTGTCTGACCCTGGACCCCGGTTCCGTCCACACGATGTGTAGTCCCTGGACTTTTTGCATCTCCCAGGCCCCACTCCTGGAGTCCGTGCAAGTGGTTGGTCCCCAGCCCCTGCAGTATTCTAGCCCAGAGAGGGGCACTTCCTGTGGGACACCCCACCCAGCAGGGGTCACATCGGGCCCAGCATCGAACTCTGAGCTCGGGCTGTTAAGCTTTGTCACCAGAGGCTACAAAACCTGTAAGCCTTAAAAAAGTGAAAATGCATATTGTGTTTTCACTCATTGGTCTCACTAATGACTTATCGATTCAAAAATCTCCTTTACTTACTGAGTTATGCTCCAGGGGTCTACAGCACTGGGAACAGAGATTCTGGTATAAAATGTTGAAAGGTAATTTTCTTTAATATACAGTGGAACTTAAAGTCTGAAAGCCAAAACTATTAAAAACAAAAACAAAAGGAAACAAACGTACTTCGTTCAATATTATTAAAGATGAAAGTTGCCTCTAACTGCCAGATGATGGTTGTTTGCCAACCTTCATTCATTGAGCACCTACTATGTGCAGGCTTGTTGAGGGGATTAAGAAAGTGTTATGAAAGTGATGCTCAAGCATAAGGAGTATCAAGCATAAGGGGACAGACTGTACTTAGAAGTGAAACCTCAAGATCTAAAAATAGAGAATAGAGGGCTTTGTGGAGCAATATATGAATGAGGAATTAAAAGTGAGTAAGACTGTCCAGTGGACAATGAGGAAGGTTTTGCCATCAGAGGGACCTTCAAGGGGGAAGGCAGAGCTCCTGAAAAAGCAGACATACTGTGAGCTGAGGAGTTCCTGTATTGTAAATGCAGAGTGTGAAGGGATTAGCAGTGGGAGAGGAGACGGAGGAGGTGACAGAGGGCTCGCCACGCCATACTTGGATGTAAGTAACCATTCCCTGGGGTCAGCAGGGCATCCGCGTACATTCTCTGTATTCTGAGACTGTGAAAGGCTATTTTAGTATAAAATGACCGGGATTCATTCTTACATGATCTAACTTGTGGCAAGTGGGAATGTGAGGTATGAGGATGAGGTCACATCTGGGTTCAAATCTTAGCTCCACCATTTAGTACGTCACTTGATCTCTCTTAGCCTTGGGATCCTAGCAAAATGGGGCCAATACTACATAGTTCACAGAATGCTGGGAGGATTGAAGGAGGAAATGCAGGCATGGAAAGTGAAAGGACATTAAGAGAATGAAAATACGAGCCACAGACTGAGAGAAAACACCTATAAAAGACATATCTGATCTAGGACTTGTATTCACAATATACAGAAATACTCTTAAAACTCAACAATAAGAAAACAAATAACTCAGTTAAAAATGGGCAAAACATCTGAACAGACATCTCACCCAAAAAGATATGCAGGCGAAATGTTCAACATCATATTTCATTAGGGGATTGCAAATGAAACACTGAGATACCTTCACACACGGACTAGAATGGCCCAATCCAGAACACCAACAGCACCAAATGCTGGAGAGGATGTGGAGCAACAGGAACTCCCATTCATTGCTGGTGGGAATGCAAAATGCTTACTGAGGAAGACAATTTCCTCCCACACTAAACACACTCTTACATGACCCAGCAATTGCTCTCTCTGGTATTTACACAAAGGAGCTGAAAGCTTATGTCCACACAAAACCTGCACACGAATGTTTACAGCAGCTTGATTCACAATTGCCAAAAGCAAGATGTCCTCCGATAGGTGAATGGATAGATTGTAGTATATCCACACAATGGAACAGTATTCAGTGATATCTAGAAAGGAGGCATCCAGCCATGAAAAGACATGGAGGAGCCTTAAATGCATACGGGCAAGTGAAAGTGTGAAATTCTAACCCCATGGGATTCTGGGAAAGGCACAACTATGGAGACAGTAAAAAGATCAGTGGTTGCCAGGGACTTGGAGGGAGGGAGGAACAGGTGGAGGCAGTGAAACCATTCTGCATGATACTGTAATGGTGGACACATGTCTTCACACACCAGTACACACCAAAGAACTGTACAACGCAAAGAGTGAACTCTACAAAGTATGGACTTTTGTTAGTAACAATGGATCAATATTGGCTCATCTATTGGAACAAATATATCACACCAATTCAAGATGTTATAACAGGGAAACTGGATATGGGGGGGAGGGAGGGAGGAGGCGTATGGGGGCTCCCTGTGCATTCTGCTCAATTTTTTGGTAAATCTACAAGTGCTCTAAGAAGTGTTAGGACAGTGCTGAGCAGACAGCAGGTGCTTAATAAATGGTGGTTGTTGGCTGGATGTGAGGCAGGTTGTGCGCTGATGGCAGACACTTAGCAACTTAGTGCTCCCATCTGCCCTTGGTCCCATATGTCTATTCACCTTTGTGCAGAGGCGAAGAGCTGTGTGTACTCATCAAAGGGCAGAACCCGGCCGCAGGTCCGCGGAAAGGCATTGCAAGGAGGAGCAGTGTCCTCATGGTTTATTTATTCCTTCCGGGAGATGCTAATATTATTCTGTGTCCCCTTCCTGGCCCAACTTTATATAATTAGAAGGATAAAAAATTGTGTTTATCCACACGCGCATGGAGAGAGATGGGGCAGCGGGCGGTGGGAAGGAGTTTACACAAGGTAATTTACAAGCAGCCCAGGACATTCATTATGCTCTATCTGCACTTTGCAAGCC